AGTAATGAATCTAGTCTTGAGCATAGATAGAAAGGGATGTCGCTATATGCAGCACATAGCGACATCCCTTTCTAACTGTACTCAAGTAAAGATCAACACTTAGTTGTCATTCTGTAATACGGGCCGTGAATAGGAGCTAGTGGAGGGTTCTCGTAACATCACTCTTCACTACTCAATGACTGACGAGCTTGAATATTTTTTTCCCTATATTTTACCCCTTCGTACGGTCAACCCCACCCCATGCAAACAGGCAAATCAATGCAATTTTTCTGTCAATAGTAATGTAACGTGAATCCTCTAGTAGCTTCTATTCAAAAGACTGACGATTTGAATGAGACCAAAAGACATGGCCGATTGTTGAACTGGTGCAACTTTATCCCCGTAAATTAATCTGCCGCGCTCGAGTAAATCCAGAAATCTCCGCTTAAGCTCCCCAACTATAAAGCGTGGAACCATAAACGTACAAGCATATGGCCAGCTCTTACATTAGAATTTCACGATATTCCACTGTGTGGTCTAGGTATAATGCGATTCAAATAAGAATAGGAAAGCCAATGACCTCTATCTGTCAAATGTCGCTTGAAAAGTACGGTTTGCAAAAAATATCTTGGAACCCTTTTTTAGCACTTGGCTAATTAAAGAATAAAAACCAAACATTTGTAAACAAACAAGAACAAATATTGATAATTAATATCGGTTGATATTTTTTTTCATTTATTGAGCTTTGGCCATGAATGGCTGATAACCTAAATCGTCAACCAAATGTCACTTTAAGTTGCGTTCAGAAACTCGATTTCAAACTTTCGTTTACATAAAGGATGCAAGTTCGTATGTGACCAAGTAATAGTGCATGATTATTCATAACTACTCCGGCGGTAATGCAGAGATGAGCGGAATAGAAGAGCTAGATTGTGATTAATGTTTTTTCTCACAGTCTTAATAAATAAATGTTATTAAAAAAATCTGATGATTTTTCTCACTTAATCTTAGTAAATAAGTTTTATTAAATAAAAACTTTTTTTTGCTCACTCTACCTATTTGGTTTGAATTGACAGCTATGACATCACAATATGGCGCCCAGTCGATCCTATTCTTAGTTGAATCGCATTATAAATAAAAAACTCAAATCACTTGTATGTAGGCAAATTCCTTTAACATCACAATTGCCTTCACCATGAATAAGGAAACAGAGAAGACTAAACTTTAACTCCTCTTGTGTAATCCATTGATACCTAGAGTAAATCAAATTATCACTTCATTCATACAGCAATAATTTGAGCTCGCCCGCACCGCTTTGTGCTGCACAATACAGTACACAATCTTTTCTGTATTGTGCCTTGTGTCCTTTGTGATTGCTTGTGACATAATAAGACAGGTAGGTAGGGAAAGCGGATAATTAGCGGCTGTCTGTGGAACGCCTACCTTATTTTGGACCGCAGCCAAGTATCAACATTCATACAATATTTATATTCCTGGAGTGAGGAAACATTATAAAGCTCCATGGGATAAGGGATGGATTCAGGGTAGCAACACGCGAGTGATAGTATCATCTCTAGTATCACAAGTAGGGTTGCCAGATGCTGGCTTAACAATTCCGGGAATCCACTCCCCACACCACACAGGGTGGGGATCCGAGAAATAAAACAAATCAAAATATTGGTCAGTAACGAATGCCTTTATATGGCTTCTGCCAATCAATTCCTGGACGTTCCACTCCGCCTTTATATAAAATCCTTTGTATATACAGAATAAATAAATATTTCCAACTCTCACACCAATTAGCCTAGCCCCAAAGTAAGTACTATAAGGCTTGTGTTATAGGATACTAGGGTAACGGATAGAATACTTAAACTGTACATATATAAGTATAGTTTTATAGAAATACATATTAAACATCCATGACTGAAGTACAAATGCTCGTATTCAGCACATAAACATCTGCCCCCACCGGGATTTGAACCCTGGACCTCTCGAGTCGGCGACACCATGAAACCCAGCGTACAAACCACTAGGCCACGGAGGTCGTCAAGAACTCATAGCTTCTGTCGTCCCTCGCAGCCCAATCCCAAATACGTCCCTGATGTATGTAACGTATGGTATATTTATAGTAATATTATGAAAAAAAAACTGGCCGAATTATTGGACACGGGACAAGACGCAAAATTCCGGGATAATCCCGGATTTCCTGGCCATCTGGCAAGCCTAATCACAAGCGTGTGGAGAGTCTCTTTGGCCATGTACTTCCTACTGTTACCACCATTTATTTAACTTTAAAAAGAAATCGACTCACCATTGCCAATGAAAGACCTTTTCCTCGGCGACGTAGCACCGGACCGGCGCGGCGTTTCTGTTATTAATTTATAACAAAACACCATTATTTAACCGTTCCCTCTTCTACCCTACACAAACAGCCGTGGGAAAGTAATTGTCCACCGATGCAATGTCGCTATGTTATTTAGCTATAGACCGTTTCATGGACTGTCTATTGTTTGTAGAAAAGACGTGACGACATCAAAGTACAGCTATGTTTATTTTATTTTCTAACGGACTTATTTATCCGTGGTTCAGTGCGTAGGTAAGTACAAGTCCAAACTCCAACTAGGTATGTATATTGTTATTTACAATAATGAAAAATCATTTTCTAGAAACAATGAACGAGTCAGTGAGTAGGTACTATTATATACAAATTTCACAAAGCCGTAAAACACTTCATGGACTTTTTATCATAAAGCCGACACAATATTGTGATGACATTACAGTATTAATCTTAACGGAAGAACTATTAACAAAACACTCGCGAAAGGGTCAAAAACTGTACTTAAGGTAGTCTAACGCACGCTGCTGAAATAAAGTTAGCTTGTTGCCTAAGTTACTGTTAGGTTGCTAAGTTAGTTGGTATCGATCCAATGGGTGAAAGTACTAAATAGGTAGGCAGCTACCAATCCAGCCAGGGCCGTAGCCAAAGTTGTATTTAAGATAGGGCAACAGTAATTACAGGTAGGGCATAAGGATGGCATTACGCCCTTCGCAGCCTGTAGTGCAATTAGGGTTCATCATCAGCCTATTAATGTCCCCACTGCTGGGGCACAGGCCTTCCCTATGGATGGAATAGGGAGATCGGGCCATGAACCACCACGCGGGCCCAGTGCGGATTGGTGGGTACCATTTAGTAATTTCAAAAGCCCTGACAAAAATCCTGACATTTCGAAAAAAGTCCGGACTTTTCACAAAATGTATTCATTACTAACTTAGTTACAATAGTATGGTATTTAAATCAATATGTAAGTACTTTTATTATTCATATTCAAAGTAATTTAAAAAGTCCAGACAATTTAAAGATCCGGACCAAGTCTGTACCATAGTCTAAAAGTCCAGACATGTCCGGTCGGATGGTCGGTAACCATAAGTGCAATGGTATTTTAATGTAGGGCATTGCCCAATAATGCCCTCCCTTGATATGGCCGTGTAGGTATCAGTACCCCTAGCACGAACCATTATCGAATTCGAATAGTTTGCAAACCGATATGTCAATATCTAAAGAAAATATAAATAGAAAAAATTCCACGCGGACCAGGTAGCAGACGAGACTCGAACCCAAGCATCGAACATCAAGCAGTTACATGCTTTAAAAAATAAAAATTATAACGAAATGTCAATGTCAAATTTTGTATGGAAACTTGAACAGCAGCGACACAAAGTACGTAACGACAATTAAAAATCAGTACACATTTGACAATGACATTTCGGACTCGCAAACGATACGAATTCGATATTGGTTCGTGCTAAGGGTACAGTCCGTTGAACTATGACTTCGTGTAAGTAGAGCTTTGACATGGTAGATGATGTCGTAAGGGTAGGAAACGGACTAGCAATAATCGTTCTAAAGTCACAAGTGTTTTATGTTGATCGTTTGCCAAACCATGATGCTTGTTTGAATACGAAAATTACACACAGCCAAACATATAGACCTCAACCTTTTTTGATGTCAGTTAAGTAAAAAAACCATAAATCTGTAGTTATAATTTTTATTTTTTAATCATGTCATTTTTAAGTATTATGCCCGATGTTTAAATCTAAAACGACCGCGTGAATTTTTTTCTAGTAATATTTTCTTTTAATATAAATCTATCGTATTTGTTTGTAAGAGGAAAAAGCATGTGTTAACGAAGTCTATTACCTGGTAGTTGTATACTATGTTAAAGGAAATTCTACAACACCGTTTAGGTATACATAAAAGACTTAGTTATCAGCTTGTTGAAGAAGTTATTAGAAACAGACAGACTATAACTTAACAAAATATCTCGAAGTTTCAGAGCGCAAAACTTCACTACTTAAATCAATGCCAACTGCGAAATTTGATTGATACTATACCGTTAATCACATAGCAGTCTTTGAAAATCTTCTATACAACTCTTGGGGTTTGCATGTATTAAATGTTTTGAAGTTAGTAAATTGAAGGTGTCATTTAATTTTCTAATATGGATACAGAAGACTGTTTTCTTAAATGATTCGCTGGTAGGTTTTAAAAAGGATTTCATTGCTTTATATCGTATGTATCGAAATCAGTAAGATCACGTAGATAATAGTAAGATCTCTTGGAAAATGATAACCTTAACAGCAATATTAAAACACAACAGTTGATTGAACCAAATTCGCATCACAAGGCTTAAATTTTGACAAGCAGCCTATTCTATCTAGATAAGATTGCGAGAACCGAACTAAGACAAACTTCAACATAGTACTTATGTAGCATACTCAACTCAATAATATGAAACGACAACTTTGTGATTGTGGTTCCAATGCACTAGCGCTATTACTAATTAATTTATCTAACTACGTTGGTACTAAGAAGTTCATCCATCTATTCGTAAGTAGGTTTTGAGTAATGTTCATTTGAGAATAAATAAAGGAACACGAAGGAGCTTATCCACTTATCGTTATCAGTGATACTGTGGAGTGGCTTGCTGATAAATCAGTCGAAAACGCGCCGCGATACGGCGATGACGATCGCGGGCGCCATGGACAAAGATAAGCCACGACCCACCGTCAGGAGACCAGACGTGTTGAAGAAACTCAACGCGGAGAGTCTACTCATCTTAGAGAGGGGGCTAGGCGAAATACCGCACAAGTTTAGACCGAAACCTAACGTACCGGTCCGCGGTAATTCAACTCAGCTTGTGGCGCGACAACCGAGTTTTCTCTCCGCTTGTTTACCAACCATCCCACAATCACCAACGGCCGAAACCCCCGCGTCTTCAACATCGTCCGAAGATGAAAGCGTTTCACCCATAAAAAAGAGCTTCAGTTTTCGTGACAGAATATCACGCATTAACTTCTTCGGCAAAGAAAAAGATAAAATGGACAAGCCGAAATGTAAAACCATTGAGGAAGACGTTAAAAAGGACTTTAAAAAGGAAGTTAAGTCTCCCACCATGTCCGCTCGCGTATTCAAACATGACTATGACCAGAAAAACAGTAAGCGATTCTGGTTTTTCAGAAACAAAGAAATAAATGAGAAGAAACGGCCTTCCCACGTTTACGTTAGGAGTAAAAGTTTCGAGTTTTTACCCAGAGCGGCCGAGGAAGCGGAAGAGGAGAAAAAGCCCGAGAAAAACAAACGGAGCCTGAAACACAGTTTATCATACGTGTTCTCCAGCTCCGAGTCCCTTGACTCGTTGTCTTACGAAAGTTCAGATTTCCCATCCAACGTCTCCTACGACAACGATGACGGTGTTTTCCTGAAAAGTATCAAATCATCAAAAGAGTCCGAATCCTCGACCAATACCAACTCTAGTATGTCCCTGGTGACTTCCACGTCCAGCGGCATCGTTGTCAACATGTTCAAAACACAATCAGTTCAGGATATCATGAACGAGTTTCACAAAACCGTGGAAATGTTTAGTGAAAGTTACATGAGTGATAGTGAACCGTATACCAAGTCTGGTGGGACCCAGCTATCGGTTGCCGCAAGGCGAAAGAGTTCATCCTTCACCAGCATACCCTCCCCCAAAATAATGCAAGTGAAAAAAGTGGATGACATCAGTGAAGATTTTAAGAAAGAGTTGAACCAAGTGTTGTCTGTGAAATGTGCTAGTTGTGTTAATCCGAAAGCCAGTCCGTGTAGGCGAGGATCCGTTACCGATTGGTTTGTTCTAGAAGATAAAGCGGCAGCACCAACGGCTGCGCACGAGGAGAACAAATACAGAAGGGCACAGAAGAAGCCGGTCAACAGAGTGAGAAGAATCAGCTCTACAAAATACGTAAGTTTACATTAAAACCTGTTTCCCCATTATTACAATAGATTATAAACTGATTAGATCACATCCATCCATCTGATTACATAGATAAGGTTTTGAATTATTAAAATCGTTACCATTGTGTTCAATATATTTAGGAAGAAGAATCAACTAAGTTACAGTGCTCGGCGAATGATAGTCAACATCATAGTCAAGTATGTATTTCCTCTAAGCTAATCTAAGTTCTTAAAATAATTTTTGAATCGTAACATTGCTGATATTAAACATTTCCATTGTTTGGAAGATGTATCATTGAGAATAAGAACTGAGAGATGCAATATACCTGACACACAAAACGTGTTCACACTATCTTATCAATTACGATAACTCTAACTGAGAAGATAACGGAAGAAACACTTGAATACCTAAGTAGTTATTAAACTTGTTTTCTTGCCTTTTTTGCCGTGTTTCTGGGCAAAAATAAGTTTATGACTAATGACTAAACATATGTTTTATGTAATAATTTATAGTAATAACAATCATATTAAAAATAATAGGATGCAAATTGACAGAGCGTTCAATTTACTGCTATCATGTTGAACTTTGTTGAACGATAACTGAATTCGAAATCCTAGGATGTCCTGGGTCCATGATGTTGACTTGACTGATTCTATTTGTCATTTTCATTGCACTCATCACCCAACGGTTTGAACTTACTACCAGAGGATATTTGTTATTATTATTTTTTTTATTGAAAAAAAGATTTGTCATGCTGCCGTAAATGGTTACGGTTGCATCGCAAATATTTGACATGCGACCGTAATAATTTAAGTCTAAATTTATTTTTAGATGTTATGTTGGTTAAATATTATTTAGATGCGTTGTTTATAAAGGTTGCAGTTATTTAAAATAAAAGAGTGCAAGTTAAAAACGACAAATTAAAAAAAATGTTATCAGTAGATTCATTAAACAGCTTAGCTCTTGGGAAACACATAAAAAGTTCTTCTTTTTAATAGAAAAGAGTAAGAAAACATTAAAATACAATTGGCAACTGACCATCTATAGAAGTAGAGATAGGTTAATCCTTGGCATTTAGGTATTGTAAATCTAGGTCTTAAAGGGCAACCGCACCTTTAAACATTACGAAATAGGTACTCAATGGTCGCAGTGACGACTACAGCTGATATTTATATCTCTTCTCCCGTTCTGGATCGAGAGTAAAGTGAAACATAGAACGCAATAGCTGCTCATTAACACGCTTTTATTAGGTCGACTTGTATGTAACTAACTATGTAATGAAATCTAAGAATCTGAATAACACATACTTCTAATTCTTGTATCATCATGAAACTTGGCAATTATATGTAGATTAGATGACAATACAATATTATGGTACCATCGAGCTGGTCTGATGATGGGACTGGAAGGTGGCTGATGGAACCTTGGACTGCCTACTAGTAAACATCGAGTTTTTTTACCTTGCATTCTCAGGAAATAGCAGCAGAAACTCATCATCGGCCTGAACATTTTTGGATTGGTCTCGAACTTGTTATTTGCCACTGGATTCTTAATAGTAAAAGCATCTTTTGACAAATTCAATCTCCAAAATCCGTTACAAGAGCTTCTGAAGGGCGAGAAGCTACGCCATCGGTCCGCAAAATTACGGCGGATGACCTTGTATTGGAAAGAACCGGCAAGGGCTTTAGTTTTCTCCCTGTATCTTTATATATATAATTCTTCTGTGAGTGTGTATGTCACTGAACTTCTCTTAAACGACTGGACCGATTTTGATGAAATTTTTTGTGTGTGTTCAAGGGGATCTGAGAATGGTTTAGATTCACAATTTTGTCCGCTGGGCAAACCCTATTTTTTTAGGGCGGTACGAAGTTCACTGGGTCAGCTAGTTATTATATATAGAGAGTCAAGGAGGTACTTCTAAAGTCACCTCCTATTACATCATTTAGGGTATAGATATACAATAAGTTTTATAGTTAACTTTACATTTATAGTATAAAGGAAGCGGATATGAAAATCTTTATCCGTAAATTTTACAATTTCAACAGTCTACTAGTACGGGTCATGATATTTAGTCCTCTCAAAGATGACCAAAGAATGGACAAGCACAGCTTAGTAAAAATGTAAATAAAACTAGTTTTTAACGGGTTAATGCACGAAACTATATTTATTTATTGACGTTTCATTTTCACCCTTTGGTTACGGAACTCTTAATAATAAAGAAAATAGGTGTTACTTAATAAAACCACACGATGCAAGTGAAATTTTTTAAGTGTTTTACATCGCGTCTTTTTTTTTGTTTTGTTGATGTTACTCCGGTTTTAAATATTTAAAATAAAAATAAAGTCCTTCTCTAGACTGAGAATCGGATCGCTTTCGCGACTTCCTGTTACACACTTCCGTCCCATTTCAAGAAATCACTCCCACAAATTGCAGGAAAGCGAGGGGAAAGATGTTACACATCAAAAATTTAAGTCGCGATCACTCATTTCACAAATTGCGTAACATAATATTATGCTAATGAAAATAATGACAGTGTGACAAGAACGTGAGTTCCTGTCCCAACAATGTTGACAGTCGACAAGGTGCGAGTTGCGCGCGCGCAGGTGAAAGGCCCACCGTTCCGCACTGAATGCGTGCATCTGATACACTTTTAGAGAAGGCCGTATTTGATATGAATAACTTCACCTGAAGGGGGTTAAGTACATATTAAATAAATAAATAAATATTTCCAACACTCACACCAATTAGCCTAGCCTCAAAGTAAGCACTATATATAGGCTTGTGATAACGGATACTAGGGTAACGGATAAAATTGAATAGGAAGCGTATTTCTTTCCGATCGTCGCTTTTATTTTTGTAGACAATCCTGTTGACAATAGGGATGATGACTAAATTTTTTTTCTTCGTTTATCCGGTAGATTATCAAAAAGTATTGGACACGTATTTTTTCTTTTTTCACATAATATAAACATTGCAGAGATATATTGATTTGAAAAGTCGCATGACGTCACTTTTGAGTACACTTATAAGTGAAAATTCACTCAAAAGTGACGTCACGAGCCCCGACTCCCAAACTTTGACGCGCTATAACTTCGTCATTTTTTGGTTGATTGCCCAAAGAAAAAATACGTGTCCATTATTTTTTGATCATCTAATTGACGGACTAAATAGAATTTCTTTTACTGTACCCTATCATCACCCCTATTCATTTATATTTTACTAGCGGACTTAGAAATTGTCCTGTCCGAAAAACTCCTGAAACACGACACGAAAGTGAGGTGAGTTCAGTTTTCTTATAATTTTTTTTTCTGCACAACTCTCTGATTTTTGTTTTTCGTAAAAACCGAATATGAAAATTATTTTACCAATAGAAAGCTGCATTAGTGCTTCCATACAATTGCGAATTCGCATCGTATCACAAATATACGCGAGCTTGCACGAATGCACCGCAAGAACTTATGATCTGATTTGCATCGCACATTCCTGCGATATTACATCACACTTGGTGACATCATGTTAGTCCGCTCTGAGCAGCATATTATTATTTTCCTTGCTCAGGTTCGAGTGGTCTAGTGGCTCCAGACGGAGAGGAGACTCCCCCCGTGGAATATCCGCCTGGAATACCTCTAGAGGCACTCGCCAATTTTCGGCTTTAGGTACCCTTAGGATGTCGCCGTCCTCAAACCCGGTGACGCTGTAAAGGTCATCTGCGATCATACATACACACTAAATATATATATATATATATTTAGATTGTTGGGGCTATACAGTCCTAATGAAACTATAGTCACTGCGACCTAGAAGATCTATTGTGTTTCGCCACCAAGTTAAAGTATCTCTTTTAGCTTGACAGCTTCCGAGAAGCTGAAAACGTTTCTAGCTTTAAGAGATTAGATTTCCTCTGGATGTATTATATGTCGTCCCAAATGGATACTGAGCAGCGCGTAAGGGCACAGATGTTAGGGAAAGGCACCCCGGGCGGTACGGTGGGCACTAGGCCGCGTGCCCAGTCCCCATGCGCGGGCCATCCTACGCACGTCTGCGGGGTCCCCGTAATACCTCGGGAGAGGCCGGGAAGCCGCTGGGTGTGGAGCCGCGGAAGAATCCCTAAACGGGGACCCCGCGGTTTCGCATAAAGCAGTGTAGAAGGTATTCGCAGGACTTTTTTAGCGGATATTATGCCGTAAAGCGCCCGTAAGAGTTGCGGGGTCCTCGGTGGCATCCACTGGGGGGTCCGTAAGACTTGCGGGAGCCAGGTGTGAGGTCCGTTCGGCGGCGTGCCTCTTAAAGGCGCCGTCGTCTGTAAAAAGATTTTTTGCTTGCGTTATAAAAAAAAAAGGGAAAGGCACCCCGCGGCGCCGCCGTCGTTGTGTAAGATAAATTATCTTTCTTTCTTGCATTGCTCATTCCAAAAATAATCCAAAAAATATCTTCTTCTGCGCTCAAACCATAGAATTCTCGAGTGAAATAGATCATAATCGTAATAAATGGATGAACTAAAAATTTTGTTTTTCTTCTTCACTACATAGTATAAAACAAAGTCGCTTTCTCTGTCCCTATGTCCCTTTGTATGCTTAAATCTTTGAAACTCCTCAACGGATTTTGATGCGATTTTTAATAGATAGAGTGATTCAAGAGGAAGGTTTATATGTATAATACATGCATAATATAGTAGAGAAACACTGATAATTTTAGAGGTTTTTAATGTAAGGTCGTAAATAAACACATTTTTTGCGCTTACATTGCAAACGCTGGCTGAACCCCACAACCGCTTTTGATCTATCAAAATAATGTACTACAGTATTGTACACCTTAAAAAGGTCTACAAAAAAGTCCGCGATGGTATATGTCTATCTCTTAAGGAAAACCCACAATAACCAATTTTTATCCTATACTTTTTACGAGAAATAATAGATTATTTACGAAGCGATTTTAAGCAATATAACATTCATCCTTATCCAATTAAGTACCTTAAATACATTGTGCATATAATTTAAATGAATATTTTCGAAGATATTACA